AGCTTTTCTTCGGCTGCAGATCTGAGCCTCTCAATCCTCCACCCGGGGATCTGAAGGGAGCTCCCACTTTCTGCCCCTCCCCTCCCCTCCCCGCAATTAATCACTGAGGGCGGCAGTCCTTCTGTAGGCAGGTGCCTGCTGAGAAGCCCCTGGAGTGGCGGCCAAGGGGCGCTGCCCTCCAAGGAGAGCAAAGCCCCCTTTCTGCCTCTGCTTCTCCCAGAGGCAGTTGCCCCGAGGCCCCCCAGCTCAGACACACACACACCCCTCCTGCTCTTCTGTTTCTTTGGAAGGTGCCAGGTGTGGGGAGGCTTCCAGCCTGGAACGTTTTATTTCGTTATCATTGAGCATTTACATTTTTGTTATAATTGAATAAGTGTGTGTAATTAAATTTATATTTATATTTAACATAAAAAATATGTTAAATATATTAGCTTTTTTTAAAAAAAAAATCGTATTAGTGGTCCTGGGGATTTAGAAGTATGAGTTTGGTGGTCCCTGAGGTCCAAAAGGTTGGTAACCCCTGATATAGAGAGCAAATGCAACCCAACAGGCGGGGCACTGCGTTATAAGTTGCAAGACTATTATTTGAATTTTCATCTAGATGTAAACATCAACTGACAGCCCAGAAAACATAATTAAGACTAATCTGCTTTGAAAATAGAATATTTGCCATCTAAGCCCTTTTTTTACAAGAAAAACATTGGATGAAAAAAGGCTTTCTGTTTACAAATGAAGTAAACAACTAGCTCCTAACCCTAACATACACATGCACATACACAAACACATTCAACTTCAACACTATTTTCCAGTTTCATAGTGAAACGTTTCAAATCTTTGATACACCTAATATTTAGCACAGAGCTTAAAATTAAACATTTTAGGAAAAATGCATGTATAAAATGTTGGCCAACCAAAGTTTCATAGAGTGGTTGGGTCTACCTGGCATGAATGTATGGGAAAGAAGACTCAACAACCATTCCAAACAACCAACAACCATAGTTCAGGGAACTATACTAATCATACAGGATTGCAGACACGATTCTCACCTGAAACTCGACAATCACAGTTTTGTCCATCCTGTGCATGTTGTAATCCATAGAAAAGACACGATAGCGCACTAAGAAAAAAGAGACTAACTGTAATTTGTGATAGTATTCAGAAGGTATGTGCTTGCATCATGCTGGCCAGTGACCAGAATAAAAAATTGATTGATTGATGTGTTTGCATCATCATCATCAACAAAACGTATTTTCATAAATTGTATGATATTTTTTAGCTGTCAACCATCCACATGGTTTATGCAGCAAATAAACACTCCTGGGACATTTTTATTACCAAGAGTATAATTTACTGAGCCAACATGGATACAAAAGTAGCAAAGCCAACATTAACATTTCCATGTGCAAACAGCATAGTTAAATGTTCCCCTTTATTCCACCCAATCAATATGGTCAGTTCAGTTCAGTTTGTTTGGGTGATGGATTCTCCGCCTAGCAGACTTTCTCAGCAGATGACATTGGTTCTCAGGCTCCCACTCTGTGCTCTTTGCATTCTTCCCCCCCATTATGCCCCCATTATGCCTCCCCTGCATTCCAATCTATCCCCACCCCCACCCCAATTCTTCTTATCTGGCTGTAAGCGGGGTTTGCAAAGTGAGCCAAGCCTCAACCATGACAGCAGCTGCCTGCCAGATTCACTGTAAATCCTAAAAAGGATGTGGGACAGTTTCTAGGAAAAAAGCTGATTAGTCCATTTGGCCAAAACAGCAGCATCCTCAAGTACTTTAAAGGCCAATGGGTTTATTACGGCATAAATGTTTCTAGATTGCTTCAGCCTGGATCTTCTGTATCTGAGACAAAAGCATCACATAATTCTTCAAAAACTATTTTAGAAAAGGCCTTTCTTGAAAAGACATTCATGATGACAAATTTTCTTCTTCTCTTAAAGAAGCACAATAAGAATTGGGGTGGGGTTGTTTTTTTGAAAAAAGATCACTCACATAACCCTCAAGGCGTTTCCCCCTTTTATGACTCGCAATTAATCAGGGCGACATCTTCTTGGACTTCTCCATTCCCTAGTGATTACATTCCACTGAATCAGCAGTGGGATTCCACCTGTTCCACTAGTGGTTCAGTGATCATGCGTGTGCCCCTAACGTGCGCATGCAGCTTTCCCTACACCAGCTGAGGACTGCAGCACCAATCAGGTGAGAGGATAAAGAAGATAAAAGTGCAGGTGTGGGTGGGAGGGCTGATCCTGCGCTTTTCTCTTCTTTCTTCTCTCAGCTGATCCTTGGAAGCTTTTTTTCCTCCTGTCAGCTGATCATGGGAGGCTTTTTTTATTAGCGGTTCAGGTGAACCGGTCCGAACTGGTAGAATACCAGCACTGCACTGGACCATCTATCCATGTGTTTCTTAAATCTTTCCTGAAGTTTCTAAGCTTGATTTCTCAATATCACTAATGCCAACACTCACAAGACATACATCCTTCCATTCCCTGGAAACAGATTGAATAAATGACAAATCCCAGGAATGGTTTTGTTTTATAGTATTATTCATCACATAACCATAGTGGGACCCCAGGGGAGTGAAGAAATAGAGGCAGAAAAATAGTTTACCTGGAGAGCCTGGTGTATAGATGCCTTTATCGGTCTGGATGAACACAAAGCCACTCTGGTAAGAGAGGAGAACCACCTTTTCTAGTTCCGCTGGCAGACCACTTACTTTCACCACCACATACTGATTTTGCCTGGAGTCCTTATTCAGTTCTTTTGCAGGAATCTGGATGAGAAGATGAGTAGAGCAGAGGCTTCAAACTTAATCATCACTAAGAGCCACCTGAGGCCTCATTCCTCAGCCCTAGGCAGCAACACTAAAACATTGGTCCAAAATTTTCTCCTGAGTCAAAAATGAAAACAAAGAAGACCACAGAAAGCCACACATAGAACTATTAAATCTTAAAAACATATTGCTTGCTTCTGCTGTCAGTTTCTGATCTTTCCTAGCAGAAGGCTATGGAGAGGCCCTGTAGTGTCCAGCTAAAGCAGCCCAGTCAATGAAACTAATGAAGAACATATCCCTGAGATCTCACCTTGCCGTTCTGCTGTTACAAGTCACATTTGGTGTCCTTTGCCCACTGCCGTGTACCCACAACCTTTTCCCTCCTAATTTACACACCAAGAAAATTCAGCCCCTAATTCTAAGCTCAAGACAAGTGGGAGGGAGAAGGAGGGAACCCTCGCCCCAATAAACTTTCCTGGTCGACCATCTCAACCTGGAAAAACATGAATCCCAGCACATTAATGAATTCTACCATTTGGGCTACGAGAGCTATTGTCTCTTTTCCTTTCTTTGGGAAATTATTGGATTATCCAAGTGCATGGAGATACACACAGACTAACACACCACTTTTACCAATATAAACAAATCTGGCCATAACTCTAACCTAGAAGGTCCAAAAGTCAGAAGGTTAATTTCTCTTGATGACATTATGGTCCAATTTGCAGAACTTTTCTGTTTATCTGTCCTTCTAGATGCCAGCAGCTGTTTGACATTCTTTGGGTTCAAATACTTACCAGAGTTGGAGTTAGTGAAGCCTTGGATGGGATTTGGTCAGGGAATAACAATTCAACACTGAAGCCCTCTGGAAAATCCAGGACTATCATAGGTCATAAAGATATACCGTTCAGCATTCTTCCTCTCCCCTCCCCCATTACCATTTGTTCATGTTGAAAGTAAACATAGTTCTATCAGCACACAGACTAACCCAATTTCTCCTCCCTGGGTAACAGGCAACAAAAGTTGCCCAGAAACCTTTGGAGTTTCCTGAAATGTCTATATTCTAAATCTGAAAATTTGGCTCTTTGGCCCACTGACATCCTATTTTTACTAAATTTAGACTGATTCGGAATCTCTAGCAATCTATTCTAAAAGCTAGCTTAGTAGTTTTGTTTTATTAATCACTTTAATTTTGCTATACTTCGTATCTGTCAAATTTTCTTTTGGTTTCTTCCTATGGTTGACTTTTGGTTTTGATATTGATTTTGATCTAAATATTTATACTATTTTACTTGTTTGCTGTGAAATGCTGTGCAGAATCTTTCAGCAATTGTGGCAATAAGAACTGTAAAATAAATTTACATATGTAGCCTATAACTCTGTTCTTCCTTCCTCCCTTGAGTTATATTCTCAATTTCTCCCAATATCTGACAGTTTAGTGATGTTCTTTCTACTAAACTGCGTGGCACTTCTTCTCAAGCAGGATGAACAGGATTTTACCTTTATATGTATGTTTGTGTGTATGTATGTGTATATATATTTATATTATGTATAATGTATGTGTGTGTACACACACACACACACACACACTCACACACACACACCCCAATAAACCTGGCGTTGCCTGGGTATTTATTTATCCCAATCCTGTATTAGGCAGGAATAGCGACATCAAGTTGCAACGTAAGTGTGGAATGGGCTGCCCTCCCTCCTTCCATTAATGTCTCTGCAATTCCTGGAGAGGCAATGGCAAGAGCAACTTCTCCCTAAGTCCTGATTTCAGCGACAATTAGATTAGTTAAAAATGTTTTCCCTGTGCCCCAGAAGCATCAAAAAATGTTGTTTTGTATGTTATCTGCATGAAGTATATCGCGTCAATCTCGTAGTGGTGTAGGCAGGCCCCCTTACAAATGCCCCCTTGCAGAGTACTGTGAAGCTATTACCGTAGCAATTCCATTTTGCTGTAGGCTCTATCTTAACAGAACACACCCTGAGGGGCGTTAGAGGTGTCTTACCCCCACAGTATTTCTTTCCAGAGAGTAAGTCATCTGTGTACCAAATTTGGTTGAAATTGCTCAAGGCGTTCCAGAGTTATGCTGGATCATACACACAAACACACACACAGCGCCATTTTTATATAGATAGATATTTGCAGGGATACAGTAGACTCTATTGCAACCATACACCCACCTTTATAGTTGGAGTAACAAGCATGCCTTCCTGTGGATTCATATTTACTCTGATTTGGAACAAGGTTTTCTGTCTCCTTGGAAAATCATGAACAGAGATAACAAGCTGTTTTGCAACACTTTCTCCATGGGCCTCCACCAAAATTTGCTCTTCTGTGTCTGTTCGCAGAACACCAGGGGTGATGAGAGTGTAGCTGCAGAAGAAGCAAAGAACATCTCCTGGGTTAGTTTGCTTAGGAAAAGTGAGGATTTGATGAAGCATCTCCATAATCTTTCTTTTAGAAAAGTGAAGAAATAAATGGTTAGAAGAACTACTCTTTTTTGACATAGAAAGCTTCCAAACACAGTTGAAAAATTAGTAAAACTTTATATCACTTAAAAGAGATTTAGGGTGCTGTTTTTGGATTACAAAATAGGAGTGACCATTACAGTAAACTGGGTGATATTGTAATGAGATCATATTATAATGAACAATGCAGTGTCCCCTTGCAGCTTAAAGAAGGACAACCTTTTCTATGAAAGAACAAAGTTTGATCTCAGATTTGAAGAAGAAAAATAGAATTGTGCCTTCATCCAAGGTTAGGCAATTCCCAGCCTGCATACAGCCCTCCAGTAACCCATCTCCAGCACCTGAAACTATGCTGCTGAGATCTCAGATTTTGCCCCAGCAGCTGAGAATGAGGAAAGCTTTTCGATCTCATCATCTCTCAAATCTCCCTCTGCATCACTCCTTGCTATCAACATCTGTCTACAGGATCATTGTTCTGTCCTTACTACATGTTACTTTGTGTGCAGCTTGACATGCAGCTAAATCCCCTTATCCTCCAATAAAACAGACTGTGTATGTAGATCTGGATGCTTTTTTAAAGAAACAGGATGGTGAAACTTGGAAAAATAGAAAAACAAACAATAAGAACCCAATTACAAAATTACAGTGTTGAGTTTATTTATTTATTTTATTTATTTAATTTAGTTTGTCAAGCATGTATGAGAAAATAAGTATAAGTATGAATATAACAGATAAGTATAAACAGATATAATTATATACATAATAAATGAGTACAAATAAATGGGAACGGTAGGATAGGGATGGTAGGCATGCTGGTGCACTTATGCACGCACCCTTACAAACCTCTTAGGAATGGAGTGAGATCCGTGATAGACAGTTTAAGGTTAAAGTATTGGGAGTTTGAGGATGTAACAACAGAGTCAGGTAGTGAGTTCCTGGCATTGACCACTCTGTTGCTGAAGTCCTATTTTCTGCAATTGAGTTTGGAATGGTTTACTTTGAGTTTGTATCTATTGTTTGCCTGTGTGTTATTGTGGTTGAAGCTGAAAAAATCATTGACGGGTAGGACTACAATAGCAATAAAAATACATAATTACATACACAAACTTTATGCTGGAGCCATGCACTCCCTGCCTGCTATCAACCAATACTATTATTTGAATTCTGAGATAGTAGCATTAGGTGAGCTGCCCTTGCTTTTTTGCTGTCAATAGAGTGATGTAACTGTAGTTTCCAATGAAGCTTCCGGGAACTTGATAGTGATCTAAGTTTAAAATATAGCATCCCATTGCTAGTCTCTCCCTTAGAATTGCTGAGGTCATCTGATATATATCCAGCACCATTCTGTAGCAATGGCAGGAACACGAGTTAAGTCTGAAGGAATCTGGGCAGTGACTTAGTTTTGAGGCTAGCACGTTACTGCTTCTGCTACTGTGTGGCTGCCCTCAGATTCTGTGTTAGATGGAGGATTTCCATCAAGAATCCATGAGAGGTTGAATATTCTTCCTTCGGAAAATGCTCTTGCTTGCTTCAGACCCATCTCTGAAAGGAGCAAACCCATTTGTTCTGTGGCTGTAATAGTCTCTGATGTATTTGTCTCCCACCTTGTGTTAGGATCCTCCTGTGGCTGACTGAATGGGAGCTCCTCTCGAGTAAATACCATGGAAGACAGTGCAGAAGACTGGTTCAATTGCTCTTTGGCCTTTGCTGATGTTTGTGGTGTGATTATAGGCTGCTCCACCATATACAAACTTTATGTTGGAGCTGATTTGTGGTTTCCTGCACCTGGGCTGCTGCACACAGACGGTTTGCATGGGTTTCAGTTGATCTTCCACAGAGAGCCTTAAATCAGGTCAATCATCATTAGATTTATATCTTGCCTTTGTTTGTACAACTCAGGACAGCAGCATATATAAGTTTGCTGTCTCCTATTTTTCCCACAAAACCCACTCTGTGAGGTGAGCTGGGCTGAGAAAGGGACTGGCCCAAGATTACCTGCCCAAGGAAGTGCTAGAACTCATAGACTCCTATTTCCAGGCCAGCACTTCAATCACCACATCAAACTGTACTGGTGTTAAAGCAGTACCACTTGATCCAGCATTTTCCAAAGGCAGCCTTCAGTTCTACAAATTTGGTTTAGTTTGTCAGGCCCAAGCAAGGGCCATGGGGACAACAGTGTTGGCATTTTGTAATACTGGAATGTCAACAGTTGAAGGCCTTTACAGAACTTGCAGGAAAAGAAATGGGAGGTTTTGTTGCCAATCTGTCTGCATAGTAACACCATAGGCATATTCATTACAAAAGCAAAAGTAAAGCAATGAAAAAAAGAAAATCATTTTTAGAAGGCAGATTAATGAGCACATTATCTTGTGTGAATGGGACATTAAGGCTGTGTAAATTAAACCACTCTAATATTATATATAGCTAACAAATGCCTTATCATATCTTGATAATATATTTTATTGGCTCTGGCTCTGTTTGCATTTAAACAAAGCAATTTGAAAGCGAGGCCTGCTGGCATTTCCTCCTTGCAATCTGATAAGTGTGCAGTTTCATATAAATTGTCTGCAGTGTAATTGAATTGGCTTCTCAGAACTATCTGATTACTTTTGCAAACTATGGGGTATATGGAGATTGGAGTAACCAACAGCTTTTGCAGGAATGCATCCTCACATAGACATAATAGATGATAGATAATAATGATTGTGCTTTGTGTATTTGTTTATGTATTTCTCTATCAATCCTTTCAAATCTATACAAATTATTGCCAACTAATGAGAGCCCCCGTTCCAAAAGCCCTAAAAGAAACGACTGTTTTCACTTTCCTTCTTTTTTTTTTAAACAAGTTTTATTGATTTTACATACAAACAAACAAGACAAAACATCATTAAACATTAAAAACATAAAACCTCTTTCCATTGTAAATCCTTACAAGGCAGGTAACATATTGCTTTATATCACATACTTATGATTTATCCCATTTCCATATAAACACGTAAATTCCCTTTACCAAATTCCACATTGTTTCTCTTTAATCATTATTCAATCATATTTCCTTTCTGATTTATCTGCTATCCAGTCATCAACTTTATATTTCCCTCTGGCTTGTTTATAATTATTCTCATCTAGTCTTCTTCCGAGATTTTATTATTTAATTCTTAATTAAACACACACACATAAAACACAGACATAAAAAACATAAAGCTTTCTTCTAGAAAGTAACTTGGCCCCAGATTACCTCTTTTTGTATGGACTCAGTTGTATTCACGCTTTTCTTATATACCATTACCCATCTTATTTACCATTCTATATCTATTATATAACTCCTCTCCACTTTTGCCTCATCTTAATTCTGTTTTATATATTTAATCTTGCTTTTTTTAAAAAAAAAATTTTTTATATCTTTTGTCCATTTCTCCATTTACATCTGTCTCATTTCCAATTTAAGAAAGAATAGTTTCCCCTGGAATCACTAATCGGAGTATGATGCCTTTCTATCATTCCCCTAAGTTAAAATTTAAAATAACACCTAAATCCCAATCAGATTCTGCTTAGTACATTCTACTATTTCAAAAACCAATACTACAATAATAAAGCCATAACAATCAACACATTAATCCATTAAACTCTATATTCAAACTAATATTTTAAACATTCCCTTTAGTATTTTATTAAAACTTATCATTCATTATTAAACCTTTTAAAGTTATACCTTGATATTTTAGCCTTTTATTAGATCTTAAAAAGTTCTGGTTATCTACTTATAATACAAATACCACTATTACAATACTCACGTGTACTTTGCAGAATCCCCCCCTTTTTTTAAAAAAAAACCCATATATTACCCATTATCCCTGAAAAAAATTCCCTTATCTCCATCTTGTCTTATATCTTTGTAACTTTTTTCCCCCTTTTCCCTTTCCTTCTTAGCCCGCCTAAACTTTTTACCCCCTCCTCTCAAAACCTCTGCCTTCTTAATTTCCCCTTTCTGCATTCCTCTTTCCTTTTGCTTTCTAGCATTCTGTTGTTTTTGCATCTTCTTTTTCTCTTTCATAAATATTTTTTTTATTTCTTAAGTCCTTCCTTTTCTCTCCTCTCTTTCTCCTTTCTTTCTTAATCACACCGTTTAGTTCATTAAAAATGGCTCCTTCTTCCTCGGTTTCTTCCAGCTGTTGTTTAATTTGCTGACACATAGCAAGCGCCATATCTAGGAAACAAAGGGCTTCTCCCATAACATCTTTGCCTTCTTTCTTTGTTTTTAGATATTGTTTTTTTAGTTCATCAAGAGTTAGAGCCATTTTAAAGTTTCTTCTTCTCTTTCTGTATCCTCTTCTTAAACCAATCAGTTATTCCAAGCTTAAAACAGTTCCCAAAGTCCCACAGTCATCAAACAGTCCAGGCAGAGTAGAAGCTTCTTCTTTTTACAGTTTCTCTTCTAGGGGTGAAGTCAAATTAGGGAAAGAAAATTCTCTTTATCTTCAAGGCATCTCCTCCAGCAAAGTCTTAGAGTAAAAATTTGTTTTCCCAAGCCTCTCCCTTCCCACTTATAACAAAGGAGTTTAGGTTTTACCTTCTACCAAAAGGCTGGTTTCCCTTGTCCATTTGTTAATTCCATAGGGGAGGGAGAGTAACTTCCCCTTTTCATCACTTTTCTTCGCAGCTGAAAACATCAATCGGGAACAATAGCTTCCATATCATTACTTTCCCAGGTGTTAAATATATCCTTAAGGTCCCAGTTCGACCAAGAAAAAACTTTCTTTAAAAAAAAAAAGAAAACTCCTTCTCCCTCCTGCGCATTCTTTATCCAATTGCCGGCTTCTTTATGGTGGCCATAAAAAGACCACCGCTGGAACCGTCTTGAGAAAAGGGGGTTATTGCCAGCTGGGGGGGGGGGTTGCGATGCCC